TTATCATTGCACAAACAAGGAGGGTAGGGAGCCGTTGGGGTCGGGTCGAGCCAAATGGGGAAGAAAATTCCAGGCCGATCTCACGAGATGGGTCACACTCCATAACACACCAGGGCCAGGCCGGGCCGGGCTCTAGAACACATAACCCAGGGTCTTAGGTTGGGCTTAGGCTCGAGCCTGGTTGGGCCTACCCAGGGTGCGAGCGAATTTAGGGTGTGCCGCGAGCTCGTGGGCCAAATTTACACCCCTATATATGGGTAGTGGTTATGAGATATATGATTAGTGGTTATGATATATGTGATATTGATTATGAAACAAAGGGTGCTGGTTATGAGATGTGGTTATAATATATGTGGGTAAAGGTAATGAGATATATGATTAGTGATTATGACATATGTGATTCTGGTTATGAGCAGTGGTATAGTTATAAGTCAAAGGGTGTTTGGTTATGAGATATGTGATTAATAGTTATGAGATATGTGATGATAGTTATAATCAAAGTGGTGTGGTTATGAGATATGTGATTAGTAGTTATAATATATGTGATGTTGGTTATGAGATATGTGGATAATGCTTATGAGTAAAGTGGTGTCAAATGGTGTGTGGTTATGCTATACGCGTTAGTGGTTATGAGGTATGTGGGTAATGGTTATGAGCAAAGTGGTGTCAAAGGGTGTTTGGTTATGCTATATGTATTAGTGGTTATGAGATATGTGGGTAATGGTTGTGAGCAAAGTGGTGTCAAATGGTGCTTGGTTATGCTATATGTGTTAGTGGTTATGAGATATGTGGGTAATGGTTATGAGCAAAGTGGTGTCAAAGGGTGTTTGGTTATGAGTTATGAGATATTGGTTATGTGACTAGTGGTTATGAGATATGTGATATTGGTTATTAGACATGTGACTAGTGGTTATGAGATATGTGATGTTGGTTATGACTCAAAGAAGTTGGTTATGAGATGTGGTTATGATTCGTGTGGGTAATAGTTATGAGATATGTGATCAATGGTTATGAGATATGTGATGTTGGTTATAATCAAAGTGGTGTGGTTATGGGCAAAAAGGTGTTAATTATGAGGTATGTGACTAGTGGTTATGAGATATGTGATGTTGGTTATGATCAAAGTGGTGTTGTTATGAGCAAAAAGATGTTAATTATGAGATACGTGACTAGTGGTTATGAGACATGTGATGTTGGTTATGACAAAAAGGTGTTAGTTACGAGATATGTGACTAGAGGTTATGAGATATGTGATGTTGGTTATAACTCAAAGGGGCTGGTTATGAGATGTGGTTATGAATTACGTGGGTAGTAGTTATGAGATATGTAATATTTGTTATGATCAAAGTGGTGTTGGTTATGAGATATATGATTATGATTATGAAATATGTGATATTAGTTATAAACAAAATGCTGTTGGTTATGAGATGTAGTTATGAAATATGTGGTATTAGTTATGAACAAAATGGTGTTGGTTATGAGATGTGGTTATAACTAAATTATGATCAATTTGATTATAGTTATGAAGAAATATGATTTTGGCTCATAACTATAAAAAGTGACCTGTTTAGCAGGTCACTTTTAATGATGTGGCTCAATCTTAGCCATTAATTTTCTATGTACCGTACATTTTTTGAACAAAATATACTATAGACTTTCCCGCAAAGAATTACCAAGAAGAGCATTGTTCAAATTTTTTCATACCACATGTTAACAATGTGAAAGTAATATTAATTTCCTACAGAAAAGAAATAGAAAAGATCATAAAAAATAAAACATAAAGAAAAACAAATAATTTGGTTCCACACAAAATTAGCACTACATGGATGCACAAAGATATCAAAGAAAATGAAAGATATTTATTTTCAATAGAAATCCAACTTAAGCATTTAGTTATAATACACAATCTTTGGCTACAACATATGCCATTAAAACACTAGTGCAAAAATATATGAAAAAACACATGAATAGGTAAATATGTTCCCTACTTTTACTCAAGAAAAAAGGGGCAATTTCTTACAAGAATGGTCCTTTTTATTACAAGAATGATACAAACCCATTATTTGAATATTCCATTCCCATACTCTTTTATTAGTTGTATTAGAATGAGGAATACATGGTATGTATGTAGTTCATTTCATGAGAAACACATTTCATAATGTTAAAGTTTCAAATTATGTAATTAAATTTAAAACTTTCAATGACTATTAATTTAATCATTAGTCATTGATCTCTTCCCTTGAGAAGGCAATAACCTAATTGTGCTCTTGTCAATTCAAGATTTTAGGGTGTTGGCAGGGGATAGAGGACAGACTTGACATTTTGGCTTTATTTACATGAATATCCCTAGACTTGATTCTAGGGTTTCACACTTAACAGTCCAATTTTCTAATGTCACAACCTACTATGCTATCTCTTACTCCTCCCTATATGTCCCCCCCCTGAAGGAATGAATCATATTAAGAAAACAAAATCATAGTTAACTCAACTGGGTTGTTTTGAATTATGGCTGCAAGCCTTTTGGCGCCAGATTAATAGTATTTGATACAAAACTTTGATGAAGGAATTCATAGAATGCTTGTCTATCTTATTTTTTACATAAATTAGATGAAGAAATTTATGTATATGTAGAAGAATGATATCATCTTCCCCAAATCTTATATTTTCTTACAGATTTTCACTAAAATGCAAAATAGAACTTTCATTTCCTAACATATTTTGTTAATCAGAGCAACTTTCTCATTAGGACCCCATTGGCCAGATGTGAAACATATAAGACTTTGACTTAACCAACATTCTTTATTTGCTATACAACTTTCTATTTTTTCCATTTTTTGAAAAAAAGGTGTACACTTGGTAAGTGCTTCCTTATGTTCCCTAGAAACCATGGGAACACAATTTCTTTATTGGTTGCTATTAGTGATTGTGATACATATGCAATTACTAGGAGAACCAGGGACTGGAGGATCATCCACAATATCAATGGTGGGTGCTGTCAAGAAGTGGCAAAAATCTGAGCCTCAAAAGGCCCTAGAAACTTGGAGAAAGTTATCAGAGGCAAATTCAGCACTTGAAATCCAACTTAATATGTTAAGCACAATGGCAAAAGAACATTGAGATTCATATAAATCCACTATCGACAACTGCAGCATGCATAGGTCAGAAAAGGTAATTTCGAAACTTTTTATACAAGTGCCCACTAAAGAGGTGGAGGTATATGAAATTTTGTTGTTGTTGTCACAGATTAAATTTTTTTAAGACAAGAATATTAATGGAAAAGGATCTAGGCAGTTTTTTTTCTTCTCTCTTTTGATAAGTCATGTAGACAACCAGTTAATTAAAGAGGATTTCCATATTTTCATAGTAAAAAATTTGGCCAGTTAGATGTCTGAACCAATCTTTTGATGGGTTTGATTATTATTGTGCACGGTAAGAAAATCTATTGCAATTAACAATTGAGTATTTAAAACCCCAGCAATCAACAGTTGGATGTCTGTAGTAATTACCAGCAATCAAAACCCCAAATGTGTAAAAAATATATCATTCAAAACCCAAATGCAAAAAAAAAAAAAAAACAAAACCCAATTTGAAGTAGATGTAGCATAACCCAATTTGAAACAAAACCCAATTCCAACCACCAAGTTAATAATAACTTGCTTAACAAAAAAAAATAAATAAATAAATAATTACCGATACGGCAAATGCTTCACTAAATCTGAAGATTGAAAATCTGAAGATGAAAGAGAGCTAGGGCACACTGTGAAGAAGAGAATTAGAGCTTTTTTTTGCCCCTCCTTCTTGCTGTTGTTGCTTCTAAAGATGAGTAGGGCAGACTGAATCTTTCAGATCGAAATTTTGATGAAGAAGATGAAAGCTCTCTTTGCCTCTCCTTCCTCCTCCTGCTGCTTCTTCCAAGGATGAGCTAGGGCAACGATGGGTAAATATAGGGGTGTACACGGTCCAGATTGGTTTGGTTCTGAGAAAATCCAAGAACCGAATCGATCCTAACGGTTCTGTGATTTTGAGAACCAGACCAGACCATTACACTTGTAAAATCAAACCAGAACCAAATCGAAATAACGGTTCGGTTTCGGTTTGGTTCACGATTCCAAAAATTTCTATTTACAAGAATAAATTGTTAATATTAGCAAAATAATTACTCAAACTAATTACATTTAACTCATGATAAAAACTAATAATATTAAGACATTACTCAACATTACATATCTATATCATCTTAATATCATTAAAATTACAAAAAAACCAATTAATAAAAATAAAACTTGATATTATATATATATATCTTTTAAAATTCGGTTTGGTTCGGTTCGAACTGTGATTTTTTCATAAAATCCATTAACCGAACCGTTTTTACGGTTCTTATATTTCTTAAACTGAAATCGAACCGATTCTTGTGGTTTGGTTTGGTTCGGTCCGGATTACCGATTTGAACGGATTTTTGAACAGCCCTAGGTAAATAAGTAATCACTCCCCTAATACCAACGGACTAAATTCTCAATACCATGTATTGGGACAGACTATGAAACCTGTATGCAAGGCCCATCTTCAAGCCTTCGACTTATCAATCCATTGTTAAACTCTACAAACAAACATAATATTAAGTGACCCCACCACTATTCTAACCTCATTCCATCTCCTACACCCAAACACAGGGCCTAAAGGATACCAATTTGTATAAAATAAAATAAAACCTGTGTTACTTTTTTATTTTTATTTTTAAATTATAAGAATAAATTTTCTAAGTTTTTGGATTTGGATATTCACCATATTGACCCTTTTATCGTGTAATTTCTCGGCTGCTCTATAAATCACATATGTGGTGGTTGTTAAAACTCTATAGATCACATATGTGGTGGTTGTTAAAACTATAAATAGCTAACCTAGCGTATTTGTTAAAACTCTATAGATCACATATGTGGTGGTTGTTAAAACTCTATAGATCACATATGTGGTGGTTGTTAAAACTCTATAGATCACATATGTGGTGGTTGTTAAAACTCTATAGATCAAGAACCACCCATTTCTCTCTCTCTAAATCTCTTTCTCTTTACAGAAACCCTAGCCGACTCAGTCCCATTCTCTCTGCTCTTCGCAACTCCTCTCAATCCAATTCTCACACCTCAGGCTCCGATCACAAATTCTCGTCGGCTTTGGATTCTTTGTTCGTTCTCTGCACTTCCGTTGCTTTGTCTTTTGCTCTCTTCGTTGCCGATGTCGATTCGGCTTCGGCTTTCGTAGTCAACACGCCGAGGAAATTGCAGTCCGATGAGCTCGCTACGGTTCGTCTTTTCCAAGAGAACACGCCTTCCGTTGTCTATATCACCAATCTTGCTGTCCGGTATGTTATGTTTTTGAATTTGTCGGATTTTTTTTTTTTTAATTAATTAATTTATTATGCCTTTCATTATCTTTTTGGTGTTTTACAAGAAGAATTTGCATGAAACAGTTCCGTGAACTGATTTAAATGAGGTAGTTTGGAGATTAAGGTCAATATGGTGATTTTTTGAATGGAAATTGATGTGTAATATAATTGTTTGTTTAGCACTGATTAAAGTAGTTCTAGGGCATGGGAATTTTGATTTGGAGTGATGTGGTGTGTTTTAGGCAGGATGCTTTTACATTGGATGTGCTGGAAGTGCCTCAAGGGTCTGGATCAGGCTTTGTCTGGGACAAACAGGGTCATATTGTCACAAATTATCATGTGATTCGCGGTGCATCTGATCTGAAGTAGGTTATTTTTTGTTCATTTTATTTGGTTGCATTTGCTTGTTTGTTGCTTAAGTTCCACATCAACTTTGATTAGTTGATGAAGAACAATGCTGCATATTGTTTAAATGGCATTATCTATTATTTCTCCGTGTGGTAAATTTTGAATTGTGAAAGGTTCTACTTTGAGTGATACAAAGCGGTAAATACCAGTAGAGGAAAAAAGATGCGGTATACCTTAAGAGAGCCTTTCATTGTTTTTTCAACCTTATATCATTTGATTGTTTTAATGTTTGTGTTTCTTCATTGTCAACCATGAGTCCATGATGTAGCCCTAGAGAAAGAGCAACGTAGAAGGAGAAGAAGGATAGAAGCAGGAATAAAGAGGGAAAAACCAGTGATCACTATCTCAAAGCAATATCTCAATGTCAATCTCAATTATTCATTACTCAAATAATATCAAGTCTGATAAATCGATTATATCAAAGCCATATATATAGGCAAAGCAAACTAATTCTATAAGAAACATGCACAAAACAAAATCCTAAACAAACTCAACTTCCTAAACAAAACTCCTAGATAAATTTATTTCCCTAGATAAATAACTCCTTAAAATGACCTTTTTTTTTTTTGTTTAAATAGATATTACAGTGAGGCTCATTACATGTCCAAAGGCAACACTCCCTTCAAGGAGGGAAAAAACATGCCTAGCTTTTACACAAAAATCTAACAAGTAGATAAACATACAAGGAGAATCCAAAAGTTAGACCAAGCAACAATCAACAGACATGCCTACGATTTCATAGGAGTCTTACAACTTGATTTCTTAGATTTCATAGAGAGGCTTACCTCTTGAGCAAGTTTAAGATTAGCAATTCTCTTAAGAAGTTTTTTCTTGTTTTTCACTCTTGAAGATGGGTTTATCTATGGAACAACAAATGTTCCATCTGAAAGGGATTTTCATTCGGAATATCTTTTGAGGGGTTACTCACTTTCAAAGAGGAGCAATTTGCATTAAGCATGCTCTTAAGATCTGCACAAAAAGAAACCACCTTATTGGCTACACAAGTATTAAGAATATCAAACGCATTCGAAGAAGATGGAAGAGGTGTAGGAACATAGTTAACCATAGGAGCATCAATGACGTCCTTGCCTTTTTTCTTTTTTACTTTAACCCATTCACTTGGCTTGCCTCTCTTCTTCATCTCGGCTACTTCTTTGGCCTTCCACTCTTGTTTGAGTTTACTAGGAGCTTGAGTTTTCGGTTTACTTGGACACAAACTTGTAGCATGACCAAATATTTTGCATTCTCCACACACTTGGGGTTAGGTTTTTATTCTTGGTAATTTCATTTGACAAAACTCCTTTCAATCGTAATTTTATTCGATCTTTTATTTAAATGAGGTTATAAGTATTTAGATGTGAATCCAACCCAAATTGTGCCAATGCAGAGGAGTTTGTGTTCTTAATCCTATCATGTTTGTCACTTCGCTAACTATGTCAAAGATCGAGCTGCCCGGTCAACTCGTGGGGGTCCAGGAGGCAGCGCTCCTTGGCGGTTTCAGGGCAGCGCCAAGAGAAAAATTGCAGTCGAAGTTGTTTGACCGCTCGAGCTGCCATCCCTGCGTTCGAGCAAAGATTGCGACTTTTCAAAAGTTTCACTCACTTGCAAAAGTACTGGGAGTTGTATTTTTTCGCTCGAGCAGCATTTTCTGCGCTCGAACGTAGACCCTTGTTCTGAAACATGCGTTTTAGTTAGTCCGCTCGAGCGGCCATTCTTGCGCTCGAGCGGAGATCGTAATTCTGTTTTCTATAAATTTTGCGATTAATTCAGTCTCTAGGATATGGCATCCAAATCTTCTTCTTAGGTATTTGGGTTTTCATCTAGAGTTTCTTTCCTTGTTTCCTTTGATATCTGTGAGAGTTTAATCATGAATTGAGTGGATTATATTAAAGGGTTTGTTTAGTTTGTTTTATTTACAAAAGAGAGAGTTGTTCTTCGGTGGATTCTGTGGAACTTGAGCCTAAAGTTTTGGTGGATTCCGGAGTGGCTCATTGTCGTGTAAATTCTAACAGATACGGCTTTCAAATCTTCTTCTTAGGTATTAGGGTTTTCATCTAGAGTTTCTTTACTTGTTTCCTTTGATATCTGTGAGAGTTTAATCATGAATTGAGTGGATTATATTAAAGGGTTTGTTTAGTTTGTTTTATTTACAAAAGAGAGAGTTGTTCTTCGGTGGATTGTGTGGAACTTGAGCCTAAAGTTTTGGTGGATTTCGGAGTGGCTCATTGTCGTGGATTTGATATCGGCGTTATGGATTCAACGTTGGGCAAGACAATTCCGAGGCGAAGACAGGACTTGAAGAGGCAGATAGGGGTCGGTTCGATTCGATTCGGGTGCGGATTCACTAGGTAATTGAGAGTACACTTGTGTAATTCCTTTGTGTTTTCTTAGTATATTGTTTTGTGACTTTTGCCCGTGATTTTTTTTTTATCACAATTACAGGCGCTCCAATTGTGATTTTTTCACGTAAAATCGTTGTGTCGATTTGTCTTTGATTATTTGATTGGGATTGCTATTTACTACTTAAAATGGAAACATAGTCACAAATCAATATGTCAGGGATTTTAGATTTTTCACCAAGGAGCTTCTACTTTGATTTCGAACAGTTCTCCATATCCTAAGTTCACAACAAAGGAGGGTGGAATGTCCTTATATGATCCATTCAGCACTTTGATGATCCATTCCGTGGGCAACCTAACTATTCTATCAGCAAACTGCCCCATTGAACAAGGACCATAATTCCTTTGCCTATATACACTTGTTGAAAATATGAAATTCTTTTTCATCCACCACACTGTGATCCCACACTTATCCTCTTCTTGAATCATCCTCCTACTTAAATCATTTCCCTCTAAAAAATAATGTTGCAGACCTACCTAACAAATTGAATCTATTTGGAATGCAAGCTTCCGGTGTCATCTCCCTTAATCCAGTAGACTCTAGAGAGCTTGATCCCAAACCAACCAGGTTGAAGTTGCTATGAAAACAAGAGGAATTATATAAGAGAATGTGAAAAAGGAAATGAGAACAAACATATATGCCTCTGATTTTATAGATGATATTCCCGTAGATGGGTTTTCTGGTTTGTTTGTTAAGCTGAGTTGGTGTTAGATAGCACAGAACTATTTTGTATATGCAAATATGTATCTTCTCTTCATTCCAATTTTATTGATTTTACCTTTTTCTTCGCTTTACAGTTCAAGTTATTAGATGCCTTTTGCATATGTCTATGAAGTTTAATTTCTGTGTCTTGGGATGCATGAATTCCTTTATACTCATAGATGTTGACAATGCGATGGTTTGACATTGGCTTTGATCTGTAGTTGTTCCTTTAATCATCTATAAATTTAATAAAGATGTTTTATTTTGTCTGGAATTGAATTAGTGTTAGTTTTGTGCAGTGTCACTCTTGCTGACCAGTCAACTTATGATGCAAAAGTTGTTGGATTTGACCAAGACAAAGATGTCGCTGTATTGCGTGTTGATGCACCCAAAGACAAATTGAGGCCTATACCTGTTGGTGCATCAGCTGACTTGCTTGTTGGCCAAAAAGTATATGCCATTGGAAACCCTGTGAGTGTGAAAATATGTATTTACAAAAAAATTTGTTCCTGGCTTTTTTTTCTTTCTTTTTTTTAATGCCTTATTGTTCTTTGGACTTGTCATTGATGATGTATTAAGTGGTCTATAAATGGGATTGTGATAAATTATAGAATCGTGGAAATTTTTTTGAATTTTGAGTGGCAATTGGAACAGTTGATTTGCTCAATCATTAGTGAATTTAATTGACATAAAGTTTCTTTGTTTTTAACTTCTACCTCAATGTTTCTGCAGTTTGGACTTGACCATACACTTACAACTGGTGTCATCAGGTATGATGTTCACGTATCATTACATCAAATGCATGAATAACATGAGACTGTTTGATGGGGTTTTAAGATCCCAATTAGTAGTATTAAAGGATCTATGCTCCTTTCCTTGTTTTTGTGGTTGAGAGAGAAGTGCCCTTTTTTTCTGTTGAATCTTTTGCTCAGTTCATTGGAGGTCTGTACATGCCTCTTGATGTATAGCTTTTAGCTTGGTTTTTGTGTACAACGTCCTCCCCGCTTAGGTGGCTTTTTTATTTTTATTTTTATTTTTATCAATACACTTCTACTTATAAAAAAATTTCATAATTTAGTTACATCTGAATTTTCAGTGAAACAGTTCTAAATTTGGCTCTTGTGAAAACTAGTGCTCTTTTTTTATTTTTTTATTTTGGGGTCAAAATTGCTGCTAAGAAGTAAATTTTGATTAAACAGAAAAGTTTGGGAGAAATTGTGGAACTGTTAAATATTGCAAAATATAGCCACGTACACCTCTTTAACATAACAAAAGAAGAGATGGTGACATAAGTAAGATTCTCAAGGCACAAGGCCTTCCGTTCTCATGGTAAGTATTAAGATTTTGGTGCCTGATCTTTGTTCTGATATTCTACACTTTGGAGCCATCTCAAAGTATGAATAGATGTAAACAAGATACAGTTACTAATGACAAGTAGGAAAGTTGTGATTGCAGTCAAGTACAATGAATAATTGCAGGCATCTATTATCAGGATTATTAAGGAAAACTATAGGTAACCTGTTACAATGTCAGTGACGTCTATATTAATACCCACTGATATGGTTACATATTGGCTCATATTTATATCACTATTCACATTTTAATAACTCATTCTTTAAGTTATCTGTAGTGGGCTTAGAAGAGAAATCAGTTCTGCTGCTACTGGGCGTCCAATCCAGGATGTTATCCAGACAGATGCTGCCATCAACCCTGGAAATAGTGGTGGCCCACTTCTTGATAGTTCAGGAAGTCTTATTGGGGTAAATACAGCTATATACTCTCCTTCCGGCGCATCCTCTGGCGTTGGTTTCTCAATACCAGTTGACACGGTGGGTTATTAGTTCAACCTTTTTCTCCTTTCCTCAATTTATAGGATGAGATCTTTAATTAAAGGATCGTATGAAATTGGTGAGGAAATAGATAATTCTCTCTCTCTCTCATGTTTATAGATGAATCATTTATACACATTCATTACATGTCCAGGTAGGTGGCATCGTTGACCAATTGGTGAAGTTTGGGAAAGTTACAAGACCGATATTAGGAATCAAGTTTGCTCCTGATCAGTCTGTTGAGCAAATAGGAGTTAGTGGGGTGCTTGTCTTAGATGCTCCTGCAAATGGTCCAGCTGGCAAAGCAGTATGATCATTTTGATCTTTACGACTGTTTTATCCTATAATTGAAAAAATGGTTTTCATTAGTTTCTTTTTCCAAAGTTGTTTGGTCTAGAAATCTCCTTCTTTGTGCTTTTGATCTTAGAAGATTGTGCATGCGCATGTAAAGCAGATTTATTCTTTTCTTCAGGGTCTGCAACCAACTAAACGAGATTCTTACGGCAGACTTATATTGGGTGATATTATAACATCTGTAAATGGAAAAAAGGTCTCTAATGGGAGTGACTTGTACAGAATTCTTGACCAATGTAAAGTGGGCGATAAGGTATGCACTCATTTAATTTTCTTCACGGATCATTTTACATGTCCTGTTTACTTGTTTCTAAGGTGGTTCTAGATATTTTTCAGTTGTGGTTCAGTAATTTTACACATATGCACTATTGAAACAAGTTCTCTCTATTTGGATGAAAGTAGGATATTTACACTATAAAGCAGAGAATAGTTCTAAATGGTCAAGAATGTCATTCTGTGTCGGCATATTATCTTTTAAATTACCTGAGAATTGACTGCTATCAAATTCCTAAAAGTATGTTTTAAAGGACGGCTTGGCTGGTGGCAAGGGTTTGAGTCACGAGAATAGTCTCTCCTCCAGACCTCATTCTAGTGAGAGCCTCGCCCACCTTTTTTTTCTTGGGTCCTAATGACAGTTGGGCATAATCAGACTCCTATGTACAAGTTGATTTCATGATCTTCCAGACATGGGCTGACATAATTGTTCCAATTACCTATTATTTAAGAAGTTTTGTTAAATGGAATTGTTATGAGTGAAATAATCAGTTGTCTTTTTTTATGGTCAGGTGACTGTGGAAGTGCTGCGAGGTGATCACAAAGAGAAGATCCCTGTATTACTGGAGCCCAAGGCTGATGAATCGTAATTGGCTCAAATGCGACGAGCATGTAAAATCCAAGTATGATACAAATACAACCCCGCCGAAAAAATGCATGTTTGTGTATTAATTGTTTCACCACATAGGTGTTGTACATATTCCAGCTATTGTACGATGTTGATATAAAAAGCTAGTACACTGATGAGTTAACGCTGTACGGCTGTGTTTCAACTGTATGAGCTGAATTTTTATCCTGCATCATTGGGCAGTGGTTTGCATTTCAACTTGTATTTCATGGATGTGCGTGCTTTGATCATGGACTTATATTGTACTCGAGAAATGATTCATACTACTAAAAAACAAAGACCACTAATAATATTAATGCATTGGGAATGCCAAAAAAAAAAAAAACAAGACATAGGCAGTGGGCAAGACCCCCTGCTACATCATTAGTGGTGCTATTAAAATATCATTTTTAGTGCTTTCAATCATTTTTTTTATTGTATTGGGGATTTATATTATCATAGGGGATATATTGTGTGTGCAAGGATTTCCGAACTCCAAAGAAAGGTTTGGCCTAATAGAAGTCAAAAAGCCAACAAGAAATCCGCCAACACAATTTTGAGGATAAATTACTAACAGATTTTATTTTTGGGACTTGATCCTCATTTGAAAACAGGTCATTTTAGTATCTTTTTAATTTTTACGAAAGATGTACAAAAAAATAGAGAATAATATGACAATTTATAATAATTTTTTGACTTTTTTATTAAAACTAAAGGTTGTTAAATGAGATCTTATTATCTATTAAGTCTTTATTGATAAATTTATCAATCTCGTATTTTTATAAATAAATTTATAATAATAAGTTTATCAAGTAAGACTTGTTGGCAAATAAATCTAATTAATAGGACTAATTAATAAATTTCCAGTTCTTGAAGGTGAGAGGATAGACGAGCGTTCATATTGTATGTAAGTGCAAAAATTATTATTACAGAATAAAAACTGCTATTGATTGATGGAAGAGATGGGAAAGGTTGCACCAACACTGTAAATACATGCTGTTTATTTATAGAGAAATGTGCTATAAAATCAAAGGAAATATGCTGTTGAATATATGAGTAGTTTATCCCTTTGGTATGTGCAGGACAGTGGGAACATTACAACTGAAATACAATTGTAGGTTGTCTTATTTTTATTTCTCCCTATATATTGCGAAAAAAAAAAAAAAGAACAGACAAACAGTCGTGGCTCCTACAGGTACAGCTCAGAATGCTGAGAACCAAAAACCCACAGGATCCATAGAAAACTCTATTTGATGATACTGAACTTATACTGGTCCTCCCCCATAAGGCCTTGAATAAAGTGAAGAAGTAACCTTGTCAATTGTGCCAAATTTCATCCATGCAGGTACAACATCTTTTTGAAATTGTTGTATGAAGTACTAATAACCTTGAAGGTTCCATCCCTTCACAAGTGTGACGTGTAAATTTAGAATCATAGTTTTTGATTCTCTCGCTCATGACCAGTGTCTTGAAATGTCTACAACAGGGGTATAATGGTCTACACCAGGGTACCATGGACTTGTTGAGTACAGGATGCACAACTACTTGGGGGCTAGTCTAATTGGACAAACAGAGAATGCAATACATCGAGCTGCTTTTGCCAGCATAAAGCGCTCATTTTCTGTCAGCGGCCTCTCAATCACCTTGATGATATTTGCATCCTAAAACATACCAGAGTAAAACAATCATCCAGAATGATGATATAATGAACTTCAACTTGCAAGGATGCTGCTAGCTTGAAATCTGATTGAATATGTTCGTGTATCTCCAATTAATTTCAGTTGACATTGGCATCAACATCAACTCACCATTAGTCATCCAGATGGAATACAATGACAAGACATTATCATTATATGATAAAGGTAAAACAGCAATATTTTTTTATGCTTTCTAAGTCAGAAGTATCAAAATGGAACACATGTACCTTCTTTTGTTGTTGAATAGAAGGCCTCACGCTGGCAATGTCACCGACCACGATTATATTGTTAACATTCCCCCTTTCATCCCTTTCTGTTGGTGAAGCCGTTGAATGCCTCCATTGCCCACTAGTAATGTATTTGTAGTAATACCTGAAGGTCATAAATATAATTACTTTTATACAGAAATCTAGGTAATAGGGCCAGAATGTCAACAGCTGAGTCCTTTACCGTAGAAACACTGATCAATGAGCTTTAGCAGTCAGGATGACTGACCTATGGTTGTGTGATTCACCACGGATTTCTAACATTTATAATTCCCTTCCTACCCCCAACCCAACTAAAAAAGGGGAGAAATAGGAAAAAAAAAATAGAGAAAATATGCCAGCAAACACAAGCATCATGTCAACCAAGATAAAGCAGAATGCATCTATAGCACAAATATGCAATGCCAATTGATTTTTCAAATAAGATGAGAAGAATGCATTGTAGCAAAGGTGTGCTCAATACATGCCCCAATCCCAAGCACTAATTTTGGAACTATGAAGGTTTTCTGTTCCATTACTTGGCGTGATGACGCTTAATGAGCAGCCTAACGGAAAATTTCAATGAATGTTAAAAAGTTAGATTTCAAGGGTAGGACCTTAGAAACAGAAAAAGAAGAAACTTACTTCCCTTGCGAAAGTCTAACTTCGGCTTCATATCTTGGGCCACCCTTGTGAACAGCCTTAATTGGTTCTTTCCAGTTTCCAGTGAAATCTCCAACCAAGTATACATCCTCCCCCTGCAATTGGAAGACGAAGTGATAAAAATAGCACCGTCAAAACTAATAAATCCATAAATGTAAACTAATTAATGAATAATACTGGCAAAAATCCTAGATGCTGTGAAATCCCTTAACAATAAGTTCTCAGAAATAAAACATCATAAAGTTTTGCTACACATTTTTAAGTATTTAAAAAAATCCATACTAAAAGAAGTAACAAAGATTGAAGCCATGAATTACTTCACGCCCATTCCACACAAAAGTCACAGCATGGGTTGCAGGTCCTTCATGTTTGCCCTTTTCCACCATTGCTATTAGATCCCATGTAGCCCAGGCAATTGCTGGTCTGCATTCAAATTGCAGCACATGCTTAATCAAGTTTCTTATAAAGGAAGACATATTTTTTCTTTTTCTTTTACTTTCTTTTTCTTTTCTTTTTTTTGTATAATATAAAGTAATGTATGCCAAAAAGTAGTAACATAATTATTTTAAGATTTAAATGAGAAATAGTTGAGATGATACAGACACGTGCAACAGAGACCAATTAAAGCACAAGAGCCAAATCCTCAGATGCTAGTCAACAATGTCCTGAAAGCAATATTTCTAGGCATATGCTTATATATTATAATCCAGAAAAACTTAACATGTGAATCGTCAACAAATGCTCCTAATACAACTATCTTGAGAGAGAAAGCATTTGAGACATTAATTTTGCAATGTCAAATGACTTATGCAGAGATAAAACAGTTAGTGGAAAAACCTGTCAGGCCTGCAAGAATGTAATCCGGTGACAAAATTGTAGGCAACATGAAGGGAGGTATCTGTCATCCAGTGCAGGTATGCAATCACACAAGCAGGGGATCGATTAAACCCAGTGGTGCAAGTAATGTAAACACGATGGTTTTTTTTCAGTAGGCGTAAAAGAAGGCCCACACAAAATGGTAGTTTCTTCCTCATATCAAATGAATCTACCTCCCTGCAAAAGAAATCAGAAATGTTTCATGCCATCATCCCAGGTAAGCATGCATGACAGAACATTCATTAAAGGCTATAAAAGTAAAGTTTGGCTTTGAGTTACCTTATAGGATAGTTAATCATAAGGATGTTAAACCCTTGGCATGATTCATTGATTGATTTTGAATTAATTCCCCAATTTTCTGCTTCAATTCCACTCTGGAAATTCAGCACAGCAGTGACTCCCTGAGGCAGACATTCCCCAACTGTTGTGAGCAAGCAAGCAAGTGAACAAGAAACAACTAGATCCTCAAAGAAAAAAAAAAAAAAACAGTGAAGGGTATCAACAGGAAAATTAAAATACATAAACACAAATAGAACCTAAAATAACTGTAAAATTCCGTCTAAAGGAATATTAAAGTAATTAAATTCCTTTTGCAGTGTAATTTTGAAATTGTTTTATGAAGTTGACTGGAACTTTATTGATAGAATTTAATACAAATTAGTTTCTGGTTCTGATTAACTTTTCCCCTTAACAAGTTAAAGAAATGTGATATCTGTAAAAGGACAAATAGATCAAGGTCCAAAAAGTGATCTGCTCCAAAGAACTTGACCTGCTCAAACCCGAGCATGTAACTCCTACCTTGCCAACCAGACACATGCAAGGCTCTTGAAAATAATATATGTATTAATTACACAAGACAAGACACTGCCGTTATACACACAAAAACCTCTTTCACTGTGCACATCTATGCATGCTACTAGAAGTTCAGATAGCAAGATAGATAATTGCGTGCAAATTCAAATTATAAGTTTATAAAAATAACTAAAAAATGACTAGTAAAAGAAAGGCATAACAGCCCTCACCGCATTTGACAAAGTCTCTACATCAGCTTCTGTTTGTATACATGACCCCACATATATCTGCTCTGTAATCTAAGAAAATAAAAAACAATAATTAGGCCGAGAAAAGAAAGTTTCATGGTCAAGACTAAAATATTTTAAACTCATACAAGATTTGGAGCCCTGCTGCATACAATTATCTAATTCAAGTTCACATGCTCTAGTCTTCTCAACATCTCTATCTAACAGGCATATTATGAAAACTTTAAGTCAAAGATGACAGGGTTGATAAAAGTCAATATTGTACAGAAAACGGTACATGGTACAGAAAACTTTAACTACAACATAATACATGCACATACAAAGAGAACCTATATCAAAACGGTACATGGTACAAAATGTATCCCATACTTCAAATCTACATGCACTAATCCCCCACAGAACACATACCACTGTCTACAGCATGCAGCCAAAACAGTAAATAAGTTATTTTAAATGGTTGAAATAAATGTTCCCTTGTCTAAATATGAGATATTGCTAAATTTGGCTTATGTTCTCAAGTTTGCTATTACTTCATTTCATAATCAATTCACTTCAAAAACAACAAAATGAGAAAATAGATTGTTTTTTTTATTTAAATTGTACCTTGAATTAATTACTTAATTATTGATCGTTGATGCACATACAACTCCTTTAAATATTGTCACACAAGGTGGCCTTAATTCAACTTTTGGGGGCGTACTCACAAGTTCACAACCAAAACCTTTACCCAAAGTTATTTAACATTGGATTCATCAAAAAGTGTATGCCCAAGACCTTCAGAACGATGGTTTTCCAAGAAGGAAAATTGGTGGTCTCCTAAAAGACAGCCTTCAAACACAGAAATAAGGCATGTCAAGCATGCAACAATCTAGAAAGTAAACTCTATTTGTCAAAGCCAACTACTTTTCTTTTATGTGTTCGCATACTTCCATAGAAAAATAAGTGAACCTTGATTCATCTTCTCTTAAGTCTTTACAAGAAGGGCAAACATTCACTAAATAGGGAGGCAGGATTGGGAGCCAATTTTAAGAACAAAAAATAAAAACCAATATGACCATAACATTGAATAAACAAAAAAATAAAAATAAAAAACTAACAACTAACAACTTTTGTTATTGTAAAGATGTAAAGATTTGGCAAAATAATCAATGCTATAGAGCAAAAAAAAAAAAAAAAGCTCTACATCACACCTTACTGTAGCGCATACCAAGAGAGTGATTGTAGTATAGTTCCCCTTTCGAACGATCCAGTGCCTTAGTGTATTCCTCCAATGAGAAACTCCCATGTCCCCATTCAGCATCTCCTGACTCTTCCTCGGAGAAAATGGTTACAAGTTGACTCAAGGGTGCAGCAAATGTGCTTTTCTGCATTTGTGGATGAATGTGTCCATTTTGATTATTCAACTTCCATCCTTGAGTTGTTAAAAACTTTGAGGAAAACATGACAAACCCAGAATTTCCGCTGCTCTCAGAAGCTTGCAAGTTTGATGCCAGTATAGTTTTATTCCAAGTAGCAATAGGAACACGACCTCTATTATATAAAATATCAAGATCACTAGTAATATGCAGTTGTTGAATAGGAAAAGGAGAGAAGGGTCTCTCAAGTACAAGGCTACAAGGTCCAGATTTTCCTTTCCTTATCATCCTGCAGAACCAAAATGATAGGTCGATAGCCAGAAATGCATGTGTGTTTTGTATACAGAGATGAAAAGAAGTGATTTTCAATCATTGAAATATGAGCTCTGGTATTTTCCAAGTCATATGAACTCTAGTATTTTCTAAGTCAAGAAACTGAACTACATTCAAAGTTAAATGTGAATGAAAAAGACAGAAAATAAAGCACATCTATATTTCACTTTCACCAGGAAAGAATATGGTCTCCAACGATCAAGTTTTAATACATGCAAAAGCAATCCCAAAGTGGTAACCAAAGATCTGTTCTTCGCATACTCCATGTAGGATAGTTCTTATTATCACTCATCCAAATACAGTTATAGTTATAGAAAGCTAAATGATAAAATCAAGAACAGAGATAATTTATTATATATTGGAAGGTAGAGTTATCGATTATAATTACTCTCAAGTTACTCTACAATTAAAACCCTTTGAAATTTATAGAGCTGTAAGAAGTTAATGATAAAATCAAGTATATCACTAATTTGCTATCTATTGGAAGATCAGAGTGACACTTCACAGTAAGTTAGCAATTAATACATCAAGAACATCATGGAGTGCAACTTAAAATTTTCTAGTATATGGCTCCATCGGATATATATCACCATACATTGAACAATCTCTCTTTGCAATAGGGACTACAACATTGTTGGGTTAGTAGGAGACGAGCTTTGTGGACCTAATGACCTTTGCAGTTTTTTACCATATAAAACGGTGTCACCATTACACTCAATATTCTTCCCACCAAAACAGTTTGATGTTGAAAAATTGAGATATGATTATGGAGTAGTGCTAGAATGAAAACAAAGCAAAAAGGGCATTGCATACTCTGTATCTCCAAAGTCCTTGATCTCAATAAGCTTTCCATCAGGTGATTCACTTGCCTTTTTCAATGTGTCACCCACCATAATTATCCTTGATTTCTCAGCATTACCCTGCATTATTAATCTACTGATTAAGTAAATTCTACAAATCACATTGCATATCACGCCAGTCATTAGTCAATGCCATTTCACTTATCAAAAATATCAATAAATAAATAAAAAACTGCAAACGCTAAGCATCATATGAAAGCGACTCGCCAACTAAATTCAACCAAATAAATAAGTAACAATGATAAGAATCGTAATAAATAATTGAAACATGGTTTAAGAATTCAAAGCACTTAAGAAGACTAACCCCTTTTTTGAGCGAATGAACGAAGACTTTGCCATCGACCGAGAGTGCGAACCGAATACCGAGTGGTTTCTCGAGTATCACCATATACTCATTAAGATTCATCTTGAACGTTGAACCAGAGGAAGAAGACATTGCCAAAACCCTAGAAATTCTGCGACTAGATCCACACTTCTCTACACAACCAACCACAAAGCCTCCATTGATCAAACTCAAATCTCTGCCCCAAAAAGAAGACGAAGCGAACTTCTCTGCCGAAGAGTAGCTTCCCAGGAATGGCGGGTGGTTGAGAGCCCCGTAATTCATCAGTATTTGCAGCGAAGACATTATTGAATCTGCTAGGTTTTATTCAGGAAATCAATCAAATGGAATGTGATTGACTCTGCAGATGGAATTCTATGAATTCTATGAATCAATATGTATACATACATATATGTATATGTGCATATGCAGTGAGATTCGAGCTGCTTCTGGGGAGTTGGGAACCTGTGTTGGTGGATGATTGAGGAAGAGAAGCCACAGAGTGACGGTAAGGTGCACCAGGAATCGACATTTGGTAATTTGTTTGGTAGAAAATTTAGTGTCTCTAGCATTACTCATACTTTATAGAAAATGTTAGAAGTCTCAAATTTTTTATCAAATAAATGACCAAATGTCTCACATGTAGGGTCCACAAAATTGCGGACCCCACAATCATATGAGATATTTGATCATTTATTTAGTAAAAAACTTGGTGTCTCTAGTATTACTCATTCTTTATTTAGTCAATCTAAGTCTCCCTATTCTTTATTTCAAAATATTTAGTTATATATTTTATTTTTTATTATCCCAAAATATTAGTTTATTTTTAAAAATTAAGTACAAAAATAATATAGGTTGTATTTGGTGAAACTTTTCAAATATGATTCCACATTATGATTTGAATACTCTATTTATTTATAATTTTTAAAAATTGATTCCATACTCACTTTTCAAAAACACGTATACCTAGTCATTCTTATGGACGTTTCCCGTATCTCTGGTCGGTTGACCTGAACAGTGTTCGTATTTTTTTTTTACCACCTATTATTTTTATATTTTAAATAAAAAATATTTTAAATTTTTTTATGAGCTTTGAATAGAATTTTAGATTATCTGTTTAGTTATGAGTTGTAAATTTTTGAATCAAATATCATATGTCACATTACTCAATTCAAAACTCTTTTCAAAACTCATAACCAAACAAATTTTTCACACTCAAATCATAATTTCAAAACTCACAAACTCAAAATATAACTATATTCTCAAATCATAATTCTAAAATTCTATTAAACGTAACCATAAATTTCTTATTTTGTCATTTTTTTTAAATTCATTAAAAACGTAAAAAATACAATTATAATATTAATATTTCTCAAAAAAATATACTATCAAAAAATAATTTTAAAAAATCAATCTTTTTAAAGTATAACAATTATACTATAAAAAAATTAAATTTCCTAAAAAGACCATTATTCTAAAATTAAGTATATTTTTCAATCATTTAACACGAAGGTCTAACAGCTATCGCTTGGGACAATATCCCAAAACCAACCTAATATCTTCTCCACGGTGTGCCATCCATGACAAGACACCTAGTAATTACATGCGTTGAAAACGAAAAAATTATATATAATCTCATTGGACAGTTCTCTAATCTTTCTCAAAATTGATATGATTTCGTTTGGCGAGCACATCACCCAAAAATTATTTGATATTCTTCGATTCCTCAATAATCACTCTGGACTATTTTGAAAAGGTGACTTTTAGGTGCCGTTTGGAAAAGATTCATTTGAATTCTTTTAATTTTTTTAGTCACAAAAAATAGAATAGGTTATTTGAACCATAATAGATAAAACATCACATCTAATTAATAATTATTATATTCTTTTCTCATAAAAAAATTAAAAAAGCCAAAAAGTTATTTTCAAACCAAACTTTTGAACCCAGACTCAAATAGTCAAAAAAATCAAAAAATCAACTCACTTCCCAAACAGAGGCTTAGTCACTTTTTTTTTTTTTTTTAACAAAAGTTAAAAGTTAATTTTTTTATATTTTTTTTATTTGGGAGTTGGTTTTTAATTACTGATTAAATTATAATTTTACCTCTTAGTCAAAATGTGCTACATAAGTGAAGTTGTAGATATTTTAAATTAATGAGAGTCATTTAGTCATTTTATTGTTATTTGACATCATAAACAAATATTAATCAAAAAAGTTAAAAGTAACTTTTTACTAACTTCACAAATTATTTGTCTAAAAAAATCAAAAAATCACTTTTTACCATCTTAAATAAGCCTATATATCATTTTTTTTTCTTTTTTTATTATTCAATATATAAGTATAAATCTTATATTTTTTACTAATCAAAATATATTTAAAATATTACGTCATTATACACACGACAACCAAATAACTTCTCCATATCACCATCTTATCATGAAAAAATTATTAAATATTTTTAAAGTATCCCGTATTTATATTTTTCACTAATTATCATATTATGATTTTATTTGACATGATTTAAAAAAATTATTATTCTATTTAAGTCATATTATCTTATTTAAATCGCATCACTTTTTCAACACATCACTTCAAACATAATCCATACCCCACTTAAATTTCATAAAAAATAAAAAATATATTTATTTAAATCATTCTAAATCATCCTCATATTCTCTCATATTTTCTATTTTACGTAACATAAAATTATAATTTTTATTTTTATCAATCACATCCTCTCTAGAATATCACGTGACGATTCCTAACCATGTGATAATTTCTGGTAAGACACACTACCACGTGGACAAGCGTGGGACCCGCTTGCAGGTGGATCTAGCATCCTTTTTGGCTTTTGGATACATTGCCACGTTGTAAAGTGGACTTTGCGTTTTTGGATAAATTATACTTTGGTTTTATTTTTAATTATTTTTTAACTTTTGCATTTAGGAATTGTTTAGGATATCTTAAATAAGTGTACTTTTTAATTTTTTTTTAACTAAAAAATTGAGAAAAAAATATAATTATTTAGGATAACTTTTTGACTTTTTATAAAAAATATGTATTAAAAAATTATATAAATTAGTGTGTAGGGAAAAATTAGAATTGAGAGTTGTGCAGCCGTACTTTTTGACTTTTGGTGAATAGTGATAACTTTTTAGGGATATTTTTTTAAGGTCCCTGATATTATGATTTTATAGTAGAAAGGACATCAAATATTTTCATAATGTCTAAGGTCCCTCAACATCAATCTAGAGAAATTTCAGTCCCAGAGAAAATTGGTCCAGAGAAATTCTGGGAAGAATTTCTCTGGACCAACCCAGAGAAAATTTAGTTCAAAAATCAGAGAATTTCTCTGGTTTTAACCCAGAGAAAATTCAGTTAAAAACCAGAGAAATTTGAAAAATCCAGAGAATGAGGTTCAAAGCAAATTCAACACATCCAACTCTACAAAGCCCATGAATGTACGTGTTGTATGTTACAATAGTTGGGCTTTCCTAACTCTCCTCCATTTCTTCTAGAATTCCAGTAGCTTGTCTAATATCTACTGCATGATGTCCTTTGCAGTAAAAGTTCATCATAATGGTATAGGTGCGTACATTAGGCAATGGTCCAGACTTCTTTATTTCTTCAAATAAACTTGCAAGATATTCCACTCTATTTGCTTCTGCCAAACATTTAAGCAAGAAATTGCATGAAAAAACACTAGGGTTTAACCCAATTTTCTTAACCTGCAGAAACACATCAACAGCATTTTCAAGCATTAAAATTTGCTGGCATTTGTTCTTGGAACAACAATTTGATTAGCTACACAAATCTCAACACTTGGGTTAGAATCAAACACTGTGCCATCTAGTTTGCCCATATTTCTCTGGTTTGCAAATTTCTCTGGATTGCCCATATTTCTCTAGTTTGCAAATTTCTCTGGATTGCACAAATTTCTCTGGTTTGCAAACTGAGCAAAAAAAAAAAAAAAAAATTTTTACTGGGTTAGCACCATTTGAATAGAATCCACATTCCGATTCAACTCTCAAGCAAGTCATGCAATTCCAAGACGCCACATCTAAAGCAGTTAGATAGCTCGCTCAGGTAAAGTTTCCAAAAGCGGTGGATTCAACTTTGCTGATCATCGGAGCATTGGCAGAAGTTTGGTAAAAGACACCGGACAATACCATAAGGCAAGAAATAATACCGAACATTGATATAATATTTCAACACCACCATTTTCAACTCCAGGAACTCTCTTTCTCTCTCTCTAAAAGGATGGAGGACAGTTCGTTAAGACAGGGCACCGTGACATATGCTTCGTGGATCAAACGGCCGGAAACGCCCATCTCGTGGAGGTGGGAAAGGCCAGGCATCGTGATCAACCCTCGCTCATCGAGATCTTCTCCTTTAATTCCAAGACGTCCTTTTCTCTCTTCCAACTCCTCGGTCTCTACTCTAGCCCCCACTGAGACTCTTGTTTCTTCTTCAACAAGCTTCACACGTGATTGAACAATGGGAAGGGGGCTGAATTTCTCTGTGATAGATGGGAGGGACTTTAGACATCAAAAAATAATTTTGTGGATCTCTTCCATTATGAAAAGTGGGAGAGGGACCTTAGACCAATTTTCCCAACTTTTTAAGTAATTTTTTAACTTTTTGACTTTTTAGGCACATGCCAAACTTAGCCTTAATATTTTTTTTTTCTTACTTTACCTTTTATATTTTAAATTTCTTTTAAATTTTAAGTTATGTACAAAATAAAAAAAAAATTAACGATCACATAACATAAAAATATTTTATTATATATAACTCTAATTTAAATTTAAATTTTGATATTATAATATTTTTTGTTTTATGTGATAATTAATGTGATATTTTTTATTTTATATATAATTTTAAATAAAAATTAATTTAAAATGTAAATTAAAAAAAAATAAATCAGGAAGGAAATTGAAAAAAGATTCAACCAAAGTTAAAAAAATACACTACTTAACGTAAAAGGGTAAAATGTAATTTACCCTTGATTGTTATTGGTTGATTTGATTGAGCTTAACTAAATGTTTTCTGAATTTTGTAGGGCGATGGTAGCCCAATAATAGTTTGACACGTTCTACAACAGATAAGGTCTTTTTTAGTAATAAGTTTTAAGGCAATGTTTGTTTGGCGAATTAAGTTGAATGGGATTATGAGTACTGTGCGGTAGTATTAATTTGAAGATGAAAGATAAAGAGGATTTGTTTGTAGGAAATACTATGGTATGGGATTAATATATGAAATTACATAAATGCCCTCCAACTAACCTGAGACGGTAATTTGTGAACAAATTGGGCCAACCTAGGAAAAGTCTTTTTTGAAAGTTAGGCCGCGCAATGGGCCGAGATAAGAGCTGATGTAGCTCGGTCTTGGGCTAAAAAGACACTAGGTCGGCTAGAGATGGGTTACTAGGGCCTGGACCTACCTATCTGAAGGTAGTCTTTTATCGGATCGAAATGTTGTCAATGGAGAGGGCTGAGCTATGTGTAGCTCGT